GGGGGGGTCTGAATTGAGCGATCAATTATTAGACCCGGACGTCCCAACACTTGCTTCGCAAGACAAACTCAAGGTATCCCCTAAAGGGCTACCTTTCGTGACTTGTGCGAAGCGTCCTGAATATGACCATTGTCCTTTTGGTTTGGGGTGTCCCCATGGAGGACATGTGTTTTAAGAAGTTCGTTCATGGTCCATAATTCATAATAATTCACCGCCCCAGGGACTTGCGCAGCCCCCCAATGTTGCACACCCACTTGGCAACATTTAATTACTTGGTCTTACTGCAATGTCATGAATCGTCAGATCCCTGGCCAAGAGGCAGCGCTTGCGCGGCGCTGTGTGCGCCGCTTGACATTGTCCAAGGTCCCCACATCGCCGAAGGACCTGCAAATATCAGAGATCCTCCGACACTCAGTACACCTAAGATTCTAAGCAGTGCTCAGCAACTCAAAGGCTAACATTTTCAAGTCGTGCAATATGGAAGCCAACATTCTCATAGTTGGAGGCCATTGCTTCTAGGTTGGAGGCCATCACTATTAGGTGCGAGGTGCTTACGTTTGAATTTATTAGCACTGGCCACCCGCCTTCGCAAGCCTTTCAGAACATGGCCACAAGCAAAGATCGAGAAGACTGGGGGCCTTCGGCAGATCCGGCCCAGGTAAGGTGTGTTATATGCATGAGAGATGCCTTCAAATAGCACTTCCCACTCAAGTGCCCCAAAAGCACTGCAAACATCTGCAAACTAAGGTTTTCAGTGTACGTCATCGAGTCAAGGCTTGAAGATCGCCTTCCGACTTTCAACGATTGTCACAGTTTGGAGGCGCTCCAGGACGACCCTCAATCAGGGCGAGTGACGTGTTGGCCAGTGACGGGATCGGAGATGTCTCCGCCGCTGCCTTCCAATGCCTCAAATCTTCCCAGGAACATAGCCCCAAAAAGGCTTATACAAATGGGGAGCAGGACAATTGAAATCACTGCGTAACAACCTTTGAAATCCTTTGAATGCATTTGACGTTCATTCATGAATGGATTATATATATATATATATTCCTAAGATGTCTACATCATGATCCGCCTTCTAGAGAAGAAACAAATGGTAGAACAACAAAGAATAGTAGATCCCTAACGCCATCTAAAGCCCTCGAAGGCAACACCTTCTGTGGAAGTTTGCAAGCGTGCAATGAAAGAGCTGCACGGCCGATGGTCGAGTACCATGTTTCCACTCACTCATGGGACCACTTGCCAATCTCCAGGTTGCAAGACCATAGGTGTCTGCGGCAAGGCAAAATCCAACAGGTCCCTGCGAACCTCAGGAAACGAACAATGAAGCAAAGTGAAACCCAGTTCTTCATTTATATAGATGCTTCAGTGCGGCGGGTGTCTCTTGAGGCCTCTTCTTCCGGAACGGACAAACCCCTGCTTGGTCCGCTCAGGCAATACCTCATTACTTATCCCAGGCACAATGCCCTACAATGCTTAGTATCTAGCTAGTGGCAGAAACGCAATCTGCAAACTACACAATAGGGAGCAACGCAACCACATCTTTCAGCTCGAGTGTCGACGACAAGGCAAACGCCCGCTGGGCCCAAATTCTTGCCCGCAGAGCAGTACAATGCGGCATACCCTCAGAGCCAAACACCCGAATTTGCAGCCAAAGGGCTGTTACATTTCGGTTTGGTGCTACAATTTGGCAACTGGCAAAAGCAAAAGGGTGCACCAAAGCAATCAACAACATCAATGAGAAGAAACACGTCCACCTCCATTCTGCACCGCGTTGCGCTGAGCATTGCAGATTGAATAATGGGGCTGAACTTGTTTCTTTACATGCACAGTTGACAAAGGACATCAAGGGTCGTTTCCCTAGGCACCTCAACCGGTCCTGATTGGCCGGGACGCGGGAGATGTTCACCGGGCGCGAAAGGAGGGTCGAGGTGAAGTCGGCCACTAGAAGGCGATCACCGAGGTCGAGATCCTCAAGGGATGATCACAATGGGGCCATGATGATGGTCAAAAACGAGAGGAGGTAAGGCCCTATGCTTTCCTACCTTCTGTCTTTCTTTAAGTCCTTTCTATCTGAAGACCACCCCAAAGCATATTGTGTTGTTGGAATGTCTTTCTGGCGGCCAGCGTGACGTAGAATGGCATATTGCACCAACTCCCGACCTCAAGGAACTCGACGCCGCTGATTGTGTCATTTCCACAAATATGTACCTTTGTATGTCAGCGGGTTGGATTTTAAGAAGAGCCACACCCAGCGGATTTATTTGGACACGAATCTGATTGAAACCACGTGGTTTACGTCGAGTCTAGGTCTAGGTCCTAGGTTATCGAGTGTGGTTTCTCAACCTGCATCTTGGACAGCGCGATAGATGCTCAAGAAAACATGGTTCCTCAACATTAATTCTTCAACAGGTGGGTCAAAGGTGGCAACAAAAGGCTGAGACATGCTGAGACCGAGTGGCATAGGCAGACTCATCCTTGGACATATCATGGAACTCACTCATTCACTCTGGCCAAGCTGTGGCTCAAAGCCAAAACAACTCCAGTGCTGCTTGCGCTGTTCCAGTCAAGACTCTGACAAATTCCACTCGGAGACTGGAGGAACTTCCAGTCTTCCACCCTCCTCTCTCAATTCTGCACAGACCCGCACAGTGCAAAACTTCCGCGCCTCGTTCCTTGGCACAATGCTTCGGAAGACCAACACGACAAAAGCAAGGGCCCTTTACCTGTGAGCTTGGTGGTACTGCCATTGCCTTTCAATTCGGGTTCGCTGCTGCACTTTCACACCCTGCATAGCTCTGATATCTTGATACAGTCCACCGTATGAGTTTTTTTGTTTTTACATTGGTTCGACTGGTCGCTCTATGAACCTAGTAACTTGACACCTTGCTCATGACATGAGGAGTGTCCGACACACCCTGAACTTCCTTCAACCACACCCCCAATCAAATGCATGATGCCAATTCCCAGTGTCCAAATTCCCTCCAAAACGCCAGGAACAAGGACAAGACATGGCAAAACCAACACTCCAAGACTCAGTCGTTGAACTACTTGACCTTCTAAAGCCTTTTGCGTTCCGAGATGCATTGCCCGCCGGGACCAAACCCCGGTATCCACATAGTCGGCCTAACAGGTTGTCGGAAGCATCTGGGCATAGGCACAGCTTCTATAACTGTATCTTTTTAAATACAAGACTTCAAAGCACCTCCGGTGATGTATGTTCCAAGGGATGTGGCGTGAGATCTTTCGCTGACACTCGGCCAAGATCTTGAAAAACTCAGGGGTCCACCGGGAACAAGACCTTGCCTGAAACAATGCCCTAGGGATACCTTCTTTGTAGCACCTATAGCCTATAGCCATGGGCCTCATTCCACAACGCGGGTCAGGATGCCCCTCTATTCCCATCCTCTAGTTCCTTTCATTCAGAACTTGGTCTCAGCATGACATGACTAAGCATTTGCCTATGCAATTCCACACTTGCATGAACACAACAATAAACGTTCCAGGCAGAAAGGGGTTAAGCCAGTTGCTCCAAATGATTTCATAGCAGCACCTCTCCTCGATGGTACATGATGGTAAGTAAGCTAAGCTCGGAGATGGCAACCTTCGCAACATGTGTTATAAGTTATAATTGCATTAACTGCAAAGGTTGCCAAACCATTGAACTATGCGACTGGATGAAGCTGGCATTCTCAACTGCCGGATCTGCGATCCGATGTTCAAGCGCTTGAGAATTCAGGTGCTCTCACTATGCCATGCTGGCACACCTTTCATGATGAATCTGGTGCGATTTTCCTGAGACGTTTAATCTCTGATGAAGGCAACAAGTCGCCAACGCCCGTTCATATGCCATTGTGCTGCTTTGTATTGGTGACTGGTAGGTACTCATCATCTCCTTGGTTTGTTTTTGTAGTTTTGTAGGTGTACAGTGATTATGATTACTGTATAGTGTGTAGCGAGCCGGTTGATGCCAAACCGATACCGCTTTTCAAGCAGCAAAGCAGCTATTACAGTAAATACAGTAAGTTATGACACAATCATGCCATGCCGCACTGGGAGTTCTGTGCATTGATTCTGGAAGGTGTTGTTTGACATATGGCACTCCGGTAGCTTTGGCACTTCTTTTGACTGTCGGCATGTCAGCAGTGGAACCTCGACTCAGCCACCACAATGCCCTTGGCTCTGCGTTGCTTCCCTGCCTGCGTCTTGTCTCTTAGAAGGTTAAGGGGCACAGCTGCGAACTGTCCATGTGCACCACCCTGCAGAAAGAAGGCTGACGAGACGCGACGGGATGCTAACAAGTGTGAAGCTGGCAAACAAACCTTTCAGCAGTATTCCAGGCGACCATTTTTTGCAGCAGCATCAAGGTGCATCTATTTTGGGAGTCAGCTATCTGAAACCCTGAAACCCATCGCATGCCAGGCCACTTCCAACCAACTTACTGTAAAGTATCCGATGCTTCCCACGGGTGTCTGACCCCTAGCCAGCACCGGAACTCGAAAGCCAATAAAGTAACCTGCGACCTCTTTCTAGCTGGATGTCACCGACATGGCAACAGGAATTCGGACGTTCTCACCTTGAACATATAAACACTTTTCTTATCGAATCTTAGTCATTCCGTGTCAGGCCCTGACAAACGCATGTATTAGATCGTCACCTACAAAAATATACTGCAGCACATTTGCGCACCATGCACGGGTCTAAAGCAACGTGAAGATTGAGCAGCTCGTGCGGAGCCTTCAGATCCAAATGTCAACAAGCTTGAGCATCTCCTTCTGTCCCCTACTCCGGCTGCTATTTAATTCTGTCCAGTCATCCCACGTCCCCCTTGCTTCTGTCTGCTGGCCCTGCCTGTTGCCAAATGACCGCATAATTGGAAGGGACGCCAAGGATGTGACGGACGCAGTCCGTGGCCTCAACCAGCATTCCCGAATCAGTCCTAGAGCTCCTCGCTCAGGTTCTTTCTATTGGACGAGCTTCACGCTAAAATCGAATTGGCACGTGAAGGCCCTTATACTATAGGATCGTATGGATCGTAAAAGTACGTAATAGTTATAGGCACTCCTACGTTCACCACTGCCCTTTGCATGTTTATTTGTCAAGTGCTTGACCTCAAACCTCACACCTGGGGTGTCCATCCTGCTTTGCCTGGAGTAGTGCAGATCTATCCTGCAACTGTGACTCTTAGGTCAATGGATCAATTGAGGGTTAAGGGGGGAGTCAGGAAATAAAGCCTGACCAAATCAGATCGACACCAGCCTAATCACGAGGAGCCAGGAGCTTTCAATGATTGGTATTTGCTTGGCAGGTCTTTTGGGGATGCATATGTGTGAAAGGCGGTATGGTACGAGTATTGTATCCTACCTTTGGTGCCTCTATGGGCCGATCACTCCCTATCGGCCTCGGAGGCCCATGGGGAGGATATAGCAGCAACGGCCAAAACGTATTCCATTGCTGGAAACCATGGGAGCATATGTGGGGAATACCATGGTGCTGCTGGGAACAGGAGTGTTTTCATGAAGGAAGCTTTATGGGGATCGAATCCAGGACTTCGGATATTTGGAGCCAGCTTTAGAGTGTATTCTCATCGGTTTCATTTGTTCAACGTGTGGACACAAAGTCTGAGCACCGAACCCTATGCGTAAGAAACTGTGGAGAACCAAGCAGGTAAGTAGGTAATGTTCGGGTGAACCCTGGGAGGAATAGCTTGGAGATGTTGAAGGTGAGAAAGAGACAGGCACGCAAATCATCAGAAAAAGGGTTGCGCACGTGATGGTCTTCATATCGTATAATGTGGCCAGAGTAGCATGTGTCGCAGCAAAAACAACTGTAAACATGCACAGTGCAGGGCAAAGCCAAAACCTAGCATCATAGGTAGGTAGGGTAGGCGACGCATTCGATGATGTCCTTCGATGAAGACACTTTCGGTGACAAATCAGGTGATATTATAGCTAGCTACAGTAGATACCTTGTCTGGTCTGAGCTTGTTGGATGACCAAATTGTAGTGTTCAGCATTGTCAGGATCATGCGGTTCAAAACAGCCCAGCATACCAAAGGCATCTTTAAAGGTTTCGTGAAACCAATAATGTCTGGGAACTAGGTCGTCCGTATTCACTACGGGGAGTGAAGTTCAGGAGGTATAGTCAAACAAAACTTGCCTCATTGGGTCTAAAGGGGAGGATCTTAAAATATGACGAAGTAGTTTATACAAAGTTGTGTTTTTCAAGTGTGGGGAAACGCTCCTTGTGAGTGCGATGGGAGTCACAAAGTGTGTCGACAACACTTTGATTCGTAGCTGAGCGATCAATGAATGTAGGCGGAATCTTGAGAATTCGACGAAGACCCTTCCTTTGAAAAACATTGAACTTGGAGATGTCTTGCGTCGTGAGCTGGAAATTTTCAAGTTAGTAAAGGATCTTAATTACTTAGAATAGCATTGAAAAAATTGAAGACCAGCAATTTCCAGACTATTGTGGTGTTGGCATTTTCCCAACAGAGCTTGAATTTTTTGGCAGCCTCTATGCGATTGTTGATTTCGCCTTTATCCGTCAAAATGGACCGAGGTATGTAGCTTCACGTTTCCGGGGCACAAGGGTACCATCAATAGATCGCATACTTGATTGTTTCTGATATAGGGTGAGGTCTATACATTTGTCATCATTTGTCAGTATCTAACTGCGTGTTGCACCAATTGGACCAGCGTGTAATCGTTTATCAATTGAGTGCGTGTGTGGGTTGTCCCAGATAAACGGATCATCAGCATAGCGGCTCCTGTTGTTTTGGTGTGTTGACCTTGATGTCTTGGAACAATACAAAAAACATCATACTGTAATAGTAAATACATAAGTAAGGCGAAAGCGGACAGCCTTATACCGAACTCTTGTTTCAAATCCGGAATTGTGGATCATGGTGCATAATGTTAGATCCCAACTAGCATAATGGGAGGGAATATATATAAACAGGTTTTGTACCCAGGGTGCTTTTAAAAGAACTCATGATGTGTCTATTCTTTTGCTATTGTTGCCCTTTAAAATCCTTGCTGGTGCTGCCGTTGCTACTGCTGCTGCTACTACTATCCTAGTACCAAAGTATACATAGTATACTAGTAGTACTAGTACTACTGCATACTACTGCATCCTACTGCTACTACTCCTACGACTACTACTACTACTACTGCTACTGCTACTGCTACCACCACCATGTGTTTTTGTGGCGGTACTACTATTCAGACTCCATCCATTGTTTGCTAGGCTAGGGGAGGTTTATGCGTTTTAAGATCCAACATTAGCAGCAGTCAATTAAGTGAATGATTTTGGGTGGGGTTTTGATACGGCGGAGCACCTGTAGTAGTTTGTCCTGGTTGAGTTTGTCAAAAGCTTGTCCTAATCTAAGAGAACGAGTGACATGTTTGAACGCTTTCAGAAATGTCTAAAAGCCGACGTGCAATAAAAAACACAAAGGACTGTTGCGGATTTTGGGACCCTCCATTGAATTGCATAACTCTTTTCAAGTGTAATCCACAACCCGCAAGCAATCTTGTCTCCAATGCTTATAAAAAACTTTCATATGGTAAGGCCAGAATCATTGGTTAAAAAACAAGTCAAAAAAAGTCAAAAAAAGTCAACTGGAAAAGTCAAAGTCAAAAAGAAGTCAAATTGAAAAGTCAAAAAAAGACAACAAAAAGTCAAAAAAAAAACAAAAATAAATAAAAATAAACAAAAATGTCCAGTCAAGCGACTCAGGAGCAAAAGAAAGCCGGCATATATATATATATGGAAAACACAGGCAAAGAGGACAAGAACATTGAACTAAACTAGTAACAAGCTCATAAGTCAGCCAAGGCAAATTGCAGCCTTTTTGCTTATGGCTTATGGCTTTCAGTCTATTAAAATTCTAGAGCCTTTTTGGTTGTTCAACTTTCACCTTTTCCAGCCCCAAGCCAGCCCCAACCCCC